CAACTAAAAAGAATACTCGTATACTATATGAGTAGATTCTGTTACATTAGGTTCGATATCAGTCTCTGTCCAGTTCTATGGTGTCCAGCATAGCTGCTAAACAAGACGCTTTCTTCATTCGATTCGTATGTAATTCGTGCTCATAGCTTTACATCATGGCATTATCAGAAACTGTAAATCAAGCCGAAGAGTACTTACTCTGGCCGTAAAGGACAAATCCAAACTCAGCCATGCATACAAATCGAGGCGTCAAGTAAATTGGGAAAAAAAAAATAGGTCCGAGAACAGATTTAAGAAGCGAAGGCCTATTTAGTTTTATCTCTATCTAATTGTACTCTATAAATCAGCCTTTTAAAATGTTCACTGTTCTCATATGCCTCTACTACTACTACTTGTCTTTCGTATTTACTGAGCTCGCTCTCACGTCACCTATCTCATATGAAACATCCATAGTTCGTGTCCTATACCTGTCCTGAGAATCGAGCCAATAATTTCAACGCGTAGTGAAATAAAGATGCAAACAACTTTTCAAATAACAGGTTTCTTATTCCCTAATCTGTATTTGAAGCATTACTGTTGGGCGCAATCTTGCTCAAGCGTAAACATAACAGAAACACAATAGTGGCTTGAAGATTCCGTGGAACGCAATGATTCTTTCCTCAGTTGATATAACTTTCTCTTTGCCTTCAATTCTGAGTTGGGTGCCAAAAGTTTGAACACCGACTATAAACATAACACTGCCTATTGATACGGTCTATTTCTTCCTCCTCTAATTGGGGTCCCTTTTCAGCAACCTCCACAGGTGACAAGGGGGTTAACGCGTCCCGTCGCTGCGGTTACAAGTTTTGTGTAATTGAATTCTATGCACGATGCTTTTAACAGGTTTCTCCAGCTTCTCTCTGTGCACGCACCCCCTTTCCATCCTACGTCGCCGTGCGACATATCGGGCTGATTTAGATAGCGACAATCTCAAGAAATGATACCAGACATACGTTACTTGTATAGGTGTGATAATAGGCAGAATTGTAAACACTTTGCCGTTAGACCGGAGCATATGATCCCTACGCAATAAACGTAGTTTCTGTTCACTTACGTACCTGATCTATTAGGCAGACCAGTGCCTTGTCCTAAGTTCAACCGTAAATTATGCGCACGACAAAATATTTAAATCATGTAATGTCCTTTTCGCCATAGATTAGGAAAATAAATATCCATCAGTCACAACGAATGAGGATTTTACATAAATCGCAGATAATTATTTGTGAAATCATAGATACGGTCTTCTCAACGATAATATGATAAAGTTTGGATAGACTCATGTTGAAGGCAAATTCCACTTACTTAATCCGAAAAGGTAGAATGAAGTTACATGGCCACTGACCGAGGCGAGTCTACGTATAACAGAAGTTTATTACCGCGATGTCTTTGAGCTCAAAAAGATACATGGCTGTACTGGGCAACCAACCTAGTGATTACATCAAAGGATTGGATCAAAAAGAAGCTGTTCGTGTATGATTAGAATCGAAAGGGGTTAAATGAGGTTTGCAGTTTTTCAACTTTTACTATAAGGATATAACGGCTGCTATGCATAGCTATACATCAGCACACGCACAAATGAATTGCTCTAGCTAGCCTATAATATGCGTCGTAAGTTACATAGATCAATATTGTATCTACGTACACTTCTTATCAGACTTCACAGGTGATAATAGATTGAGAAAGGAAAGACACTGCTGGCCGTGCCATAAATAAAATAGCCTCGTTCACGAAATGCCGTAAATTTGTGCAATTGTAAAGCGACCCCATTTAAAATGGTCAAACTTCAGCTAGCTAATGCCAAATCACAACTGACCAAGTTGTTCTATACTTTGCCTATACGAACACTCTACAAAGCTCCAGTCAATCTATTGATCTCCTAACGATAACGGCAGAGATATGACGATGAAAAACGTTGCAGGGCCAGAGGGACACGCATGGAGGTTGCACACTACGGCGGTGAAGGTCGACGCGCACAAGGAATTCTGTGGTCGTATCTAAAGAAATCCCAGAGCCGAAGCCCTGTTTCAGGTTGATAATCTATCGAGGAAGAAAAGCTGTTTAGATAATGATTTTTTTTTTGTAGATACGCACCATATGTGTATGTAGTTGTTCAATAAAAGTGTGAAAAAAACGAGCTCGTTCAACTTAACGTTGAAACGCAACATCGTTCTGTTGCTGGTGCCAGTAAACCTAAATTGTGATAACTAAGAACAATTGCTATTATACACCATACGTAAGGGTTATCATGCATTAAAAACGTTGTAAATTTCTACAGTTTTGCTAGTATCTTTACGGTTCCTCTGCTGTCCTGTACTTGGATGTTCCCGCTAGAGCAAGGGTTCGATTGGTTATAACGAACGACCGTCTACAAATGATTATATAAAGAAGGTTGCCAAAAGCAATATATTGCGTGCAGCTTTTAAGCCAGTTACATATCGAAGGTATATGTGAGTAGTCTCGCTACCATAGAAATCTCGCTGACAAAGAACAGCACTTCAAAGACTAATAACGGCACGATCTCCATTACTTCTCCTGTAGATCGCCTGAGTTCAAGTGCAGTCTCATACGTTTACGACGCAGTAGCAATAGCAGCTGGTCCGGACGCGCCGTACCTTATATTATCGTTTCTCTCTGCTTTTATTTTTCTTTTACAGCAGTAGAGTGAATCGGACAATAACATGGTTTATCCGTGAACGAAAGGCAAGGAAAACGCGGATTCGATATGTGCGCCTTTACGTATCGAAATATGAGAGTTCGTTTCTGTTCTCTTCAAAAGGATATTTGATCAATTTTATTTCCCAATATCCGGACAGTTACGTCTACGATGTACACTGACTGGGTATTAGTTTTACGTAAAATAATATTTAAAGGAGATAAAAAGGGACAACTTCAATCTTTATGCAGTATCTAAAAGTGATCTTGCTATTCTTATGAATCGTGTGTCTCTTGGTTTTTTTTCTTTCTTTCATTTAATCATTACCCTCTTTAGACGCATCTAGCCTCGGTTTTCTTGAAGTATTTTTCTCGAGCTGATTTCACGGATAGTTTGGCATATACGAGTCGAAGAAGGGCAGCTACTACTATCGTATGCTAAGTGAACAAATAATGGTTTATTTACTGTCAATGTTGAGTATAATTAAATTGAATAATGTAGGTTTTTATAGATAGTTCGGATGGTTCGGTTCGGTTCGATTGCCGACGTCTATCATGAAAGAAGTACGCGCCTTATTGAATAATTGTTGACTGATGATAATTAGGCTATGAGTACGTACCTATGGTAACCATAGTTGGATCAGCAGGGGTAAGGCCGCCTCCGCGAGTAGTCAACGGTACTAACAGAGATCGGTGTCACTTATCTTACACCAGCGTCGCCACTGTGACCGCATCGACCGGTGGCTTAGCTGGCAACTGACTATGTCATCTCCTCTGTCCTCTTTTTCCCTTTTTCGGCACTGCTGCTGCTCAAAGTTATATAAAACGACCTGTCGACCAGAGAGCTTGCTTGTCTGATCATCACCATTCTCATCAACGCCACCACCAAAGCTTACCTTTCTCTCTACCGAGAATCGCGAGACGGACCACGAAGTCCAGGCCCGCAGGGGAAGCGAACAAAACAAAGTCTTAGATGGCAGGACGTGAAATCCCTAAGGGAGTTACTCCGGAAATTTGGGGAAGTGTCATGACTCGACGCGGTCATGGCTCTCCTGTTGCATTACCATAGATCTAACTAACCAAGGTCCAACGTCGCGGCAGCACGGGAGTGCCGGATAAAATGAGATGGGATATCACGCGTCAGCCCTAGTCACCTAAGCGACCGGACGCCATCACGTCTCATTTTTCAATATTCGAACGGTGACAATGGCAGTACGTCGACGCGGTCGACCTAAGGCGTCTCAGTTACGAGATGGGTATGCTCAAACATCGTCAATACATTTATCCCGCTCATCGACTTTGTGTAGGCCGAATGGCAACTCCAGTTCATCTTTAACGATCTGCCAATAGTTTTCTAGATAGCCATCCACAGTGGTAGGGCGAATAACTAAAGGAGGAGCTTTAATAATCCGAAAAAAAAATCAAATAGGATCTACTTAGCGATTAGGAAGTTGGAATATATTGAAGAAAGCCTTAACATGTTATAGATCATGACTATTAGGAAGCATGCTGACACTCCACAGAGGCTTAGTGCTCGCCAACTGCCCTCTACCTATACGATGCGCTGACTTAACATAAGAACAGAAAGCGTTTACCACATTATTCGGTTCAAAACGTTCGGCATTGCGGAAGCCATATATCATTTGCCAATACGGTACGTTGCTGACCCGGTAAAACGGTAAAAAAGAAGCTCACAGCACTATTGGATCATTATGTTACTATGGGCTGGCTTGAGTACTAATTTTATAAATCCCGCTAAACAAAATACTCATTTAGCTGTCAGATGGATTTGGTTTTCATGTGTATACTAGCAAGTAATTCCATGGATTTCATAAATGGACATATTTAGAAGGGAACAAATTTACCTGTCTTATTAGTTATGTATTTACAACCAAACCTAAATGAAGTTATGAATAACAATAGCAAAAATCATAATCACAGTATTACTAAAAAGAGCTGTTTTACGTACAAAAATTAATATCAACATGCTTCAAGATCTATTGCAAAACATCGAAATAAATTCCACGAAATTTGATAACCCCCCGTCCCGTCCCGTCCCGTCCCCCCTACTTGTCTACACCTTTGGCTGATTAGAAGCTGCGGGATAAAAATTTGAAAAATATTATACTTATAGCGCTTTTTTTTTTCCATGACAGTGTGAATTTAACGAGAGCAATATCAGAAGGTTGAGCGAGAATATCAATCGAGACGGTGTTCAGTTTTGATACGACGAAATGTCACGGGGCACAATTTCGAAAACTCTTTCCATCATTCAAAAACAGTCTGCCAATAATGCTGGATAGACGCGGTGGGCTCAAGGCAGTACCCTATCAACGGACCTTGATATTGTGCGGGTTATGCATGACTACATTATGAACAAAGGCATGCCCATTGAAGTACAGCAAGGGTTGCGGCGTTTTATATTCTAATATCAATGAAGAATTGGCGTAGTGGTATAATAATTTCGTTGGTGACAGTAAGAACCCATTGAGATCGTATAATCTAACAATCACAAATCATTAACGATAACGACACCGATGGCAAGCTAGGGCTTCTAACTAAAATTGCCGTACGCCACCTGTATACTGAGCAAACACCTCGACAAGTAAGTTATGATTTATTTATCTCTTATGTGCGTTGTTTTGCACATACCATTTACATGTACACGAAAATCTTTAACTTAATTTAAGGCAGCTAATTTGAGCCGAGCCAATTATTTTTTTCAAGCCACGAAGCTATTGTAGTAGTCTGTAGATTACTACCTGGTAAATTCGGATAAATCTACCTTAAGTGAAAATGGGTGTTAAAGGTATAAGGGTTACGGGCCCACTCCTTATGGTCCTCAAAATCTTAACTTTGAGCATCTTGTTGTTGAAGAAGCCATTAGCATTGGTGTGTTAGATGCCCTGGCAAGTGAAGGAGTTACGAAGTAGATGAAGAGACAAAAGAAGAAATGAGATATTTAAACATAATATACACTATTAAATAAGACATTATGAAATTAATAGTGCGCAAGATGGAAAAGCAGGAAAGCCATTGGAGAAATTAAGGTCATTGTTTAACTTAACTCACTGCTCAAATGTTAAACAAGAATGACTAAGGCTTTCGCTGTTGTTCTCTTATGTTTTCCTAATACACTTCACTACCCGTTCGTTTCTAGATCTTCTTTTATCGAGGACGCCATTTAGGATTTGAAGTGAGCAAGATTTTATTGATAAAGAACAATGAAGTAGTGATAACGAAAGGTAGCCATAATCTTTTATTACTCCTGAGTCATCTATGACGATTTCAGTAAAGTCGGTACACAACCGAACCTTATCATGACAGAAATGCATGTATCTACCATAATTTTGAGTAGTAATTTAAAAACAGCTTCAATTGGACTATTCAACTTCTTCCGAGAACCATGCAGGATAAACATGCGGAACGTTTTTAAAGCAATTTATTTGCTTTTTTTTTTTATTTATTTATATACACATGTTAACATGCATAAGCCATGTTAACGTGGACTTTTATTTGAAAAAGTGGAGCTATTACTGTTGCTATTACTAGCAACATATAAATGTTGTGCAAGTGTCAATTTTTCTATAAGTTCACCGAAGATACCGATGAGGTTCTACTGAAGATGGTTATTTTTCTATTATAAGCCGCGACTTTTTAAAGATTCGCATATTAGTAGTACAAAACAGAACCAATTACAAAGCCTGCGATTATACGAAAGTAATTCCATGTGCAGACGGACTCATAAAACCTATAAATTTGTTCCTTAACAGGTTACACCGCCAAAAAAGTAATGGACTACAGAGTTTGCGACTGCTGATCTTAGATGAACATATCCAACATTGGAACTATAATTGCATTGATTAAATTTGGCCAAAGGTAACTTGTGATTGTTGATCGAGCATGAAGTTAGTGCTTACTGTATTACCATGCATCACATCGTTGACCTATGACATTGCCTTCAACTACTTAGCAACGAAATTGGAATATATGATTGTCAGATACTAATTGTCTATGTTTTTTTTGCATTTTTGTAGCCCGTCGCGGCTTCCTATTCGCAGTTCTCCTGATTGTGAAGTCGGGTGACATCATGCGTCCTGTTGTCGTTCTTATTATCCTATTTATAGCGACAAGCTTCAGTAAGAAAAACTACACTGGTAAGTAGCTGGAATCTGTGTTAACCTGTAATTTAGGTTACCGTTGTATAAAGCATTCTCAGCACAAACACGCAGCCATGGACATCTAGATATAGCGTCTGCTGTAAACTGAGTGTTTTATTATGATGTATTTTAAAGAAAGATCATCGGCCAAATTTGGAAGGCTAGCCAACTTGTTAAAGTACTTTTAAATAACATGCCCACTAAGTATTATTGCATTTATTGTTGAATCTTGTAGTGTGCATCCTTGAGCGCTTCAATAAGGCCCTGAAGAAAAGTAACGAAGTTCAAAACATCCAACAATGTATTGATGAGTTTAGACGTACTCTTGTCTCTTATATGTAAGTATATACATGGTTTTATTTCATTGTTTTGATTCAGTTTTTGTTTGATGAGTTTATGTAAGCTACTCCAATATATTAACCGTTTTTTTTTTTTTTTTAGTCTGCCTAAAAGTAGGGACAGGCCAGAGTACTTGCGAGGGTCATTCCTGATGGCGGAGTCAGGTCGTGTGATAAACAGCGAAGTCAAGCATTGTATGGATGAGAAAAAAGTCCCGAGTTACCCGCAACAGATGGTTGTAAACGTAGAGTTGATTGAGGCAGTTTTAAATGTAATAAATGAAGAAACTGCAAGAATTTGCAATGAGAGAAATGCCTCGACGACCAGCTAAAATAGCCCTAGCGCTAGAGCCAGTAATATAATATTAGAAAATGTTGATACTAAATATAATAAACATCACTGAAGACACTGTCAAGCATTTTTTGCGCAACCCAATTACCTACTTGGTCACCTAGGAATCAGATGCGCTTCAATGGAAGAACACGGTTTCTATATATCGTAACCGTGCGATGTGTATAATAGGTTAATATCAACTTATGTAAAAGGTAAAAAAATGTTATGTAGGCGCACAGTGAGTGGCCAACAAGTGCTCGTTCATGCTAGTCAACGACAATTGTTAGTTGAAGAAGGATTCATTTGTTTCCATATCATACGTATATAGTGATTATTGTATATATATGAGGGAGGAAATGTTGTTTCCATATCATACGTACATAGTGATTATTATATATAATGAGGAAATGTCGCGGTCATTGCCCGCCGGGATTCCCATGGGTAGGGCGGTGGAAAAATTCGTAAAACTTAACCAGATTATTTGCGAGGAAAGTATAACGCTTAGAAAGAAGAGTTCGGATTTTATTACACCTTAAGGAATTCCTTTTAAGGCGTCGATTACAGCATAACAGTTCTAAAGGCTAGAGGGTGATCAGCATTTGTTTCAAGTAATGGGAATAGAAGTATAATAGCCCTTAATAGGGTGTCGTTTTTCTTGGTTATGGAGCCCAGCCACATACGATTATGTAGAGGAAGCTTATCTGTATTTCGACTTTCAACGTCAATAAAAAAAAGTTCAAGTACTGAGGTATTTAGTCAGAGATTAGGCGACATTACCTTGACTCTCAAATAACAACCTTCCCATGTTAGTTGAAATATTGATTTTTTCGGAAAAACTATAAGTAAGGAAAACGGGTGGAGTTTTTCTCCTTTAGTAACAGTTATTTTCTGTGCAAGTGTGCAGATAATTATGTTATTACATGAGTTACATCTCAAAGCGCAATAATGTTATTTCGTTTTCATTCACTTCGTCAAAATTTACGATATATTGGGGCAAATCAGAGATATCCAGTAGTCGTCGTGATTTGACGATTCCTATATGCCAATAAATACCGAAATTCTCATTTTCCATCGTAGACGGATATTCGGGAGAGGTAATAAGTCAAATCGTCGTAATCGCAAGACTCCACATGAGATCAGCATAACTAGTCTTACACTGTCAAGCTTCAACATTTCTCATGCCGGTACAACAGTGAGAAGTGTATATTTGCTATTCGTCCGGCACCGTACCAAAATGGGTGTACTCCCAAACCCCCAGAACGTAATCTCAAATCGTGTGCGCTGACAAATCACTTTTGTCGCGGTGAGGAACTTCGCGAAAGATACCTATTTCGCACTCTTTAGATGTTAAGCAAGGAACACGAGTTTATGCCGATCTTTTACATGTGGTACTACTCACTACTTACAAGGTCGCTCAACGTCTCGTAAGTTCATGTGCAGCGATGACATAACTGTGCTTATCACTCTGCTTCATTCAGCGAAAACCGTTTGTATAGCTTCATCTAAAGGCTTTGCCACGTTCCTCTTTCAACGAACTCCCAAATAAAGCAAACGCTAAGCTCTCTTTTTGTGTGTTAATCTGACGGCTAACTTCGATCCATCGCTTCTTCAAGCTCCATCGAGAGCGACTCCTAGTGTCAATACCAGCCATTCGAACAGCTCAACGGCACATCTTCCCAAAACGAGACAGATCGGCTTGGGCTTTGAATCACAAATGAAGTACTAAAAGACATTGCCAAAGTTCCTACTAACAACTTCCAAATTAGGCACTTAAAACGAGTAACTGGCCAACGAACAAAAATGGTCAGCCTTCCGAGCACTTTTACAATCGTGATCAAAAAAATTTCAATCAGTAATCAGATATCACATGCAGGTTAGGAAATACACAGGGCCGCACTCTCATTTGGTATTATTTTAATCGATTGCTATAATATTCAATATTTTTTTTCCTTATTAGATTTAAACAAACCTTATTGAAAGTTTTTGGTTAGCGCCTTTTAGTAGTCTCTAAGCCTAAAATGCTTTCAAATATGCGTATATATGCCAGGCTGACAAGTAGATGGAATCGTATCGTCTCCAACAATTCTCCGCCACAAATAAGTTTCCCAAATGAAAAATATACGCACTCGTATCACCTAGAAATTGACATTTGGTCAACTCGTACGGCGCAGTTTCACTGTATTTAGAGAACTTTTTTGTTAAGTTATGGACACACCAATGCATACCTAGGACATGCAACACTTAGTATTAGCCGTTGTGTCTCTCCTTCCTCTTAAGATGACGATATTTAGGTATACTACGTCATTTGGCTTCGGTGGATATTAGTTCAAACGGTATTCAAGTTTCCAAAACTACTATTTTTGTCATTGTCGTTGTTTCCTTTGCTCACAAGCGTTGCATTTATTCAGCATGGCAGAGTCGCACCCTTGCGTCACGCGTTTATACAACCTCGAAACGTTGCATCCTGACTATTTTTGCTCGATATTGCAAGCAGTAGTTGTGGTACGTTGTCAGTCCCCTGGTACGCCGCCCAATGTCTGCATCACCTCATATTCCTTTGTTCTCTTGTATTTCATTGTCGTTTACCTTTTCGTAGACTTCCCTGCGGGAAACGCGCCCGTGCCGCTGTTGTATGTTACGTCTGAGTTTAAAGTAGACTATCGAAGTGTTCTTTTTCCCTTCAAACCTTTACACCCCCGTACGGCTTCTGGGCCTGGCCACTAAGGTATAGGGGAAGAAAATATCGAACTACATTCAACCAGTATAATTTCTTGAATTTATCGACGGTTGTGCAGATGCAAACGTTGAGTTGGTGAAGGGGGTTTCCCAGATCGAACAAACTCATTTACATGGCACATCAACGGGTAGTGAGTGTTGTGCGTAAATGACAGTTTGTCAGTGCCGAGAATTCAAGTCAAAAATAAAACAACACATACTTACGACAGTTCCAGCATCGGAAGAAATAACTTAAGAGAGTTTAGTTCGAAAGAAATTGTGGAACTGCTTTGAATTAAAATTAAAGAAAATAACGAACTACAGTCTGCTACATGAAATACGAAATCCTATGTTTACAGATAGCCGAGTTTAGTTTATGTTTGAGCTTTAACATTGACCCTAACACATTGTGACTTTGTCAGTATTATAACTACTCCTATGTACCAGTGGCGGGTACTCAGCTATTATTCTCCGCAAAGCTTCAATACTTAACAAAAATGTGGCAGTTTCGTGAATAATCAGGAGAAAAAATCGCCTGTTCGCAGCTTATACTAATGCACGTTTTCACGTCGCTTACCATCGGATTTACATTGGAGCATCATGTGTGCCTAATTTGTGGGGCAATCTTGCCGTACTCTTCGAAAAAGTCTTATTACGCAACTGGTAGTGTTTATTGCTTTACAGCATCAGTTGTTTACTTTCGAAATGCCAGTTCGTTCGAGGGAGACACCTAGCATTCTTGCGACAACCAAGTTGGACGCTCTTAGGGGTAGAGGAAAAAATATCTACTGCAGTTTTTTATTTTCCTATTTTTTTATCGACTTCATTGAGAAACAAAATCAAATTAAGGGTACATATTCGTATGACCAACCTCTACGCGAACAATGCTAATCGCAGAGAGAACAGTCTCTAGCACACTATAAATGCGTATATTCGCGTGTTTAGCCCGACCCATTTTTAACACTAGAGGATATAAAAGGCTTAACGGGTTTCGTTTATTTCGGGCTTGAGTGGGCCAACTTGAATTTTAGGACGCGTTCGTATGATTATTCGACTGTTTAACCACGGTACCAGCTAGGCCCGCCTTGAAAGAATTGTAGGTGTCCGGCGTAACGCTTAAAAATAACGTTTGATTACTAAATTGTATTACGTTTGATCCCTCAGTGACATCATCAAATGAAGACAGAAAACGTTGACTTAGCTTGGTTTCTCTGCAACTGCAGTGAGAGCATAAAAAATATTGGGACACCTTTAACTTGGTAACTGCTGCCCTTGAAATTACTACACACAGCTATGGTAGGGTCTGTGCAAAGAGTGGTTCTTCAAATCCTATTTTTTTAATTTTTAGCCGATAGCAAGCACTGTCGACTGATGCTTTTCTTTTTAGTTAATTCACAACGAGTTTATAGTGCGGAAATGAATTCGGAAAAACTAAGGAGTATTAAAATGGTGTGATAAAAGTATGAACCAGGACGAAGTAGTAGCATGAACTTGGCTATTGTTTAACGTTATTATTTTGTTTAGTGAAAATTAACTAAGACCATATAATGTTTGAATTAATTTATCTAATTTATTGTCCATTTTTGCACAGCTTCAATTTACCTTGAGATGCTGTTAAGGGTTTTCGAAATATGTGGTCACTTAAAAGTGATTCTATCTGTAAAAATTAAGCGACAACTAACTTTCCAAAGTTCCATTTATGACAGATCTTCTGACCGCTGTTTAGTCATATTTTAAGGGCCTGTCAGGGTTAGAGGTTCGAGAGGAGACGAGCAGTCTGAAAGGCCTGAACATAAAAAATTGTGCTCCGTATTCACCGGGTGTCCTACTGCTGTTTTCTTTCTAGAAGACTAAAATATACCTACGTCCAAATTTTAACTCCCTCACAAGCACCTAAGATTTCCATGCAATTATGTTGCCATTGTACCATCACAAAAACGTAGCTAAATACTAGCCAGGATACTACGAACTATCCGCCGTAAATAGAACGATAATAACGGTGCACAAACTAAGTCAATAAATTAATGTTTAGAGTGTTGAGATGTTCTAACCATTTTAGTTTTGAAGGTTCAGTCAGAACCAAATAAGAGCACTACGCCATGAAAGTTGTATCGGCACGTAGAGGGTCACCGAACCTGGCAGGAAATACTACGGGCACAATTGAATGCTAAGAACTGCAATTTCGTAAAAGTTTGAAATTGACTAATATAAGTATGCAGCAAATAATGTAAGAACGCTACTCCACTGTGATTATTGTGTGTACCTATGTTTTTTTTTTGGATGTTGCGAAAGTCTATCCGGAATAGTTAAAGGGGTAGCGTGGTTGTAGCAGATCTTGTTTGATGAACTCATCGCGACA